TTAAATTATTTCTTTAGTACTAATGTGTTCAAATAATAGCAAACTTGTACATAGTTTAAATAGATTTTTTTAATTTGTATAAAGTTAATCACGCAACCCATTGCACATCAGTGTTCAGAGTTTGAGCATTTTGTGTGACATTCAACTCTCTCTATGTTTGCACGAAGCACAAGAGATCTGTCAGTGTGCTTCTTCACCAAATTTGATAAACTTCCCCCTGTTCCACCAATAAGTCATAATTTGATGATATATATAGTATTGTAATTACTAATACTATAGTGGGTTATGTTTTACGTTGTCCCAAAAAAATTCCCAGACTTGTACTAACTTGTAGTACACGATAGGTACAATATTATCCGTCGCAGATATTTTTAAACAGTAATCTTACAATTAAAAAATAGTAAACCATAATTATCATGAACGTTGAAAAAAATTATGTTAAGGCGAATGTCGATCATATTCAATGAGCTACATAATAGATCGAAACTGCTTTCGTAATTTAAAAACACACAACTGTGTACAATATTATTACACGCAGATATTTTCAAACAGTAATCTTACAATAAAAAAAAGGTAACCATAATTATCATGAACGTTGAACAAATTATGTTAAGGCTAATGTCGATCATATTGAATGAGCTTCATTCTTTTAAAATATTGATGTATAAACGTCGCAGAAAAATATACGATGTTTTCCTTGTAAGAATATTTAGGGTACAACTGTGTACTCATATATTATGGGTTATGTTTAGAGATTGTATTACTTATGTATTTATTGGTTGGTCTCAAACTGTGACGATTTTTCTTACAACTACAAAATATTAAAAAAAAAAAAAATACTAAAGCTTAAGATTCTACAACATGCCCGAATCCCCGAGTGCTGGAAGAGCAGGAAGTTGGTGCTCTTGAGAACGCCTGGACGGCCTGCCAATTCTCTCTGGCAGTCTCTCTGGTGGTTGGGCGCATTGAGGCGCTGGGCTTACGGGTGGCCCTAGAGAAGACGGAGGTCCTATTGTTTTCTGGGCCGCGTTGTGGTCCTCTCTCTGGCGCCTCAATGGTGGTCAACTCAGTGCGCGTAACGGTTCAGGTATCTGATCCGGAAGGAGCCAACGCCTGAGTGCCACCACTGTGATGGCCGGGCCGTGGACACGGCGCTGGCAGAATGCCTGGCGTGGGCGGAGCAAAATCATAGCCTCGTGGCGGCCGTCGGAGTGGGAGAGTGCGTGGAACTTCGCAGTCTCCTTCTGCGAGCAGGTTATGCTTTAATGCAGGTTAGGTTATGGTACAGAGATGGCGGAGCGGGACCGGGAGAGCTTCAACTCTCGAGAAAGGGTCAGGTACCGCAGCGACCTTCGTCCTCCATAAGCAGGCCTGAGGGTGACAGGTGAGGCCATCTGTCACTCTAGCAGTTTTTTCTGCAATTACTTTGTTGAGATATTTATTATGACATTTTTGAAGCACGACACTATCACGAACATATTAATAGTGTTTTAAATCGTTACGTTAACGATAATGTCACGATAAACAATTTATTAAAAGAAAAAAAAGTTTCAAACATTAGATATATTTAGATGTACATACATACGGGTTAAGTTACTTTTTAATTATTATTTTTCAGTGGTAATAAAAACTTTTTGGAAATTTTAACTGAGTGTTGCCATTGTATTTATTTTTCTCATCACAAAGGTGTATGACTTATTCGGGGTACCAGGGCTTTCCTTTCTAGGGTATACCTGATTCCCCGGCTACTGGTACCTGGAGACGGCGTGCGGTTTTTAGTCGGTTCGAGTCCGACATAATCACCCACTGATGGGTGGTATCCGAGGGGAATTTTGCACAGAAAAGAAAAAAAAAGGTAGTAGTAAACTAGATATACATGTATACTTAAGTCTTGTCTCCATTAAGAAGTCAGTTAAACCCGTGAAATACTTTAAAAAATGCATCGTAGAATTTTGTAATTTTAATCCCGTAAAAATGTAAAATGTTATGCACAAACACGTAAATTAAGTACTAAAACATGCCTGAGTATAGCCATGCAGAACTTCACTTTTAACCATAAGCCCTTTAGTTATCTTGCCATTGTTATCGAATTACTGAATTATGGTACTTAGATAAAAAAAAAAACATAATTTACTTAGATCCTATCACCAGATCAGACTTTCAAGAACAAAATATAAGCTTTGGATAAAACTTAAAACATTCCTAGGGCTCGTAGGCATTCTCCCAGGCATAAATGATCTGCTTTTCAAGCTAACATCTTTGTTTTCTTTTAGATTAAACCTGATTAAAAAGTTTAGTAATTTCCAAAGGTTTTGACACATTAAAATTTTTATTTCTTTTAAGATTGATTCAAAAAAAGCTGGTGAGAAGTTCAACTAAATATTCCTAAAAAGTTTTCAAAACCACTGGCTATTCAAGTTTTTTCATTAGTGCGGTTTTTGCTGTTTGGCACGGATGGTGTGGTTTAAGCGATAACCTCACCGCTTTGTTGTGGGATCGATCCCAACATGCGACACTTTGTGTGATCTACAAATTATTGTTTCGAGTCTGGATGTTCTTTGTGTCCGTTTCATGTATGTCTGTAAAATACCCTGTATGACACAGGATATACTGGGTCTACCAATATTGATGACCTGGTTTTGACAGCTCATAGCGGCCATGTTTGATGATGGATCTTTGACGTCTCTTGATATTTGTGTTCAGTAAAGTTTGCCATTTTATCATGTCACGTTTCACTTTAAACCAACGCTTGGAAATTGTCCAAAACTTCTTTGAAAGTGACGAAGGAAATCCTGTTACTGTGAATGGCGAGCGCGGTTTGAAGAAGCTTAAAATAAGTATAACATTTTAAATACATCACTAATCAAATCGTAGCTTAAGTGCCTATTTGTCCTATATACCATTGGGTGAATTTTACAGGACGAAGTTTTTTTTGTTTTATTGAAAAAAAATACAATAGTTTCAAGTTTTGAAGGTCTTTCTTAATACATGAGTTACCAATGAATTGATTGTTCGAATTTTAATCTACTGATGGTAAGTAAAACTACCTTATTTTACAGATTTTGTATGGATATAGTTCAAAAATGCACAAACGCCATTACGCATGTGGACTTAGCACAAAGTGACCCTTCCATTTGCTTACTTGATCTAAGTGCCAAATGTAATACATAGCTTGTTCATTTAATCTTCATACTGACTAGCATTAATGATATGTGTTTTGTATTATTTCTTTGACTTTTAGGAATACTGGTGCTTATAAATTTAATTATATGCTTATAAATATGTAGGTACCTCTTTATACAACTTTTTATTTCTTAATTGTCAAGCATAAAAACCGTAAAGTAAAACAAGGCTTGCAAGAACCCTTACATTAAATAAATAATTCTGGGACGTGAAGTATCTATATAAAATAAAAACCAATTGCTCGTGTTATATCATACGTGTTATGACGGTGCATCACTTGAGAACGGCTCGAGCGATTTGGATAAATGTATTTTTGTTATATTTTTTTTATTGTGTACGTTATTTTCAGAACACGGTTTGTATGGAAAACAATATAAAAAAAAGGAAACAAACAACATCCTGTTGCCAAATCATAACGGATTGGAGGTAAATTAAAAAGTACTTACTCTTCAACTTGAGCTTGCGTCTGTTCATTTTTAATTTTGTAATATGTTTCACTCATTATTAGGTACTTGTCTAAAAATATCTAAGCACAAAACACAATAAATTAAATGATTTTATCAATATCTTGTGATATCGCCAGCTACGGTATCAAATCATAGAAAATGGCGGTCTAAGCTCTGCAGCATACGAGGTTTATAAAATTCGACAATTAACCGATGTCCTCGTAGAAGCAGCTAGACTAGTGTATTTTAGCTATGTTCATAGTGTAATGTAATACAGTATTTTGTAGTGGGAAAATGCTGCTGAAATTCAGAGTATCTTTGTGTTGCAAAAGAGAGCTATTCGCGCAATTTATAATCTGAGTTATAGGCAGTCACTGAGGGATAAGTTTAAAGAAATTGGTATTATGAAAGTCGCATCGCAATATATATCGAAGGTCCTTATTAAGAATGTCGGTTCTGCAAAAAGACTACTGTTCAGTAGAGCAGTTCAAATTTTGTTTTGACGATAAAAAAATAACGAAAGGAATGTGGATGTTCAAATTTGCACTGATTGTTTTTTTATATTGTATACTAAGTTTTGACACAGACAAATTGTAGAATTATGCACATAATGCACTACCGATATTATCATACGGACTATTTTATTCGTAAATTGTAGGTTGTGACACTTACTACAGTTTTGTTCGGATATTTGACAGTAAATTAAGTAGGTAGTGGTATATACAACATTTTCAAATAGAGATTTAAAAACATATTGGTTGTATGTGTTGGTTATACTAGGGTAAATTAAAAAAAAGTACACTTTATTTAATCAACTTGTCCATGCATGTATTTAAAAATTTAACAGCTTAGCATCAACACACCTATAAAACTAAGAAAGCATATTTTGAGATCACATCACTCCACATTCTTAATCACAATTTAAAAATAGTTAGAAAAGTGTACAGCGTAATCGTCTTCTTCTTTATACTTTGGAAGTAGGTTTTAAGTAAAGTTCGTAACAAAATAAAACATTCTTGTAAAGAAAATAATTACTAAAAACAAAAATTTGTATCTATGACTAATCAAAACTCGATAAAATATAGTATAACAGTCAAAACGCCTTATATTAGCAGGTAGTATCACAAAGTTTTATGTAATGTACTTAAAAACATCATATCTTCAGGAACTTTTTAAGGCTAAGAACAATAAATGATTACTTCTTCAGTCTTAATTTTGTACTTTAAAAGTCAGTGTAATCTCTTCAACTAAGCTTATCCTAATGCACTTATCATTAATCTAACTATAATTGTTAAGCAAGAACATAAAAATCAAAAATAATTCAGAAAAAAACGCAGCCATTCATTCCTCGTCTTCAGAGTCACTTTTTTCTTATGCTGCATTATTAGAAACGTGTGGTAAGTCTCTATAAAAGCTTTTATATTTTTCCGGGATGACACCAGATCTGCACATATCATTAAGATCTTTGTACTTTCCATGAGGAATAAGAACGGAGCCATCATAAGCTTGGGTTATTTTAAACTCATTATGACGTTGAGTGTTTCTTTTAGTGAATCGGAGAACCACTAAAGTCATCGGCACGTCATCGAAATCGTATTTATACTCTATCCTATCAAAAACACTGCCTGTAACTTTAACTTCTCTATTTTTGTCCACTTCATTTTTTCATTTGTTACGTCTTTCACCCAGTTTTTATTCGCCAAAAAATCTTTGAAATTGTAGAAATCGCGTGAGGTCATTTCTAGCACATTGTATGGCATTCCTTCTGTTTTCGACCAACGTGCCAAGCAGTACCATTCATCAGGAACGTAAATCATTCTCCGCTCACTCTCTCTTTCTATAAGCGCGTGAACACTTTCCCCTTCGTTTTGGGTGTGCCCTTTTTCCTTTTCCATAAATCTATGCGTTATGGTTACCCCAAACTCTTTATCAGCAAACAAATAAGAAGCAAAGACAATGCGGTTGCGATTTTGGCCAGCACAATTGTCCGACCAAAATTTAAATTCCTTCACCCCTTTTAGGACATGCATTTTAATAAAATTGTACAAGCAACTTGAAACTTCATTAGCCTCTTTTCTGCCAATACACTCATGCCACATGTAACAAGTGGCAATTTTATTTCCAAGCTCAAACAGTGTTAAGTTAAAAGTATTCAGTTTTCTTTTAAAGTAGAATATACTTACCTCACCATGCGGAGTCTAAAAAACTTTTTGGAAATCGAATGTAGCTACAATAATTTGAGGATTCTCGCATGCTTCTGTTTTATGTGCTTGTTTAAGTAATCGGGCTTTTTTCTTTCGCTCTTGATGTTCAAGGAAACTCTGTTTTTCTTCTTCTGTGAGAAACTGTTTTTTCGCAAAAATGTGGCAAACTTCACACAAGTCTGTTGAAATTTGCATTTAAAATGTCACGGTATTGACGTTTGTTGATTTTGATTAGTATACTTATTAAAATCATACCATTCAATATATAGTTTGTACATCTGTGAGGTACTTTTTTTATTATTTAAGAACAGTTTCGTGGAATATTTGCGTTAATAATGCGAATCCATGCGATCTAAACAATTCACGTGGTCTTTTACACTTCGTACCATAATTTCATCAATTATTGTAGGTTTATGTTCGTACTTCCCTCTTTTGTCCTCTTCTACAGACGCTATCCGATCATATTTCTTCCAAACCGTTGTTATTATTCGCTAACCAGATGATATTCTACTCAAAAACATCTGCTTACAGACTCTTTTTGTTTCAGTTTCTGCAGTTGGAATATAATAAACATAAGTACTCACGTTTGTGTTTTGTTACTTCAGTGGTTTCACGCCTTTTATTAAACTTTTTTGTGTATTTGATAACAAACCCTCAATGTTTATTACGATCACCTAATGTCCAAAACTTTGAAAAGATTGCTTCTCTTTGCTTTAAGTGGAAGTTTTCAGTGCATTTGTAGCGACATTTGTTTCCACACGGCTGTCCTAACACTTTCTGCTATTTGCTTCCCCTTTTTATTTATAAAGGCTTTCCTTTCATTCTTCTTTTCTTTTTTCTTTCGACAACACACCACCGCTCTTTGTGTAATAGTCTCTTCATTCCTACATCTGTTTTGTAAGTCTTCTTTCTGGAGCCTTTCTGTGTAGTCGGCGTTACGTTAGTAGATGTGACTGATATGGTTGAAGGTGTTGGTAAATTTTCATAGATTTCATTGGGTCTAATGGCACAAGTTTCTACGCATATGGAACAGTATTCATTTCTACATGAGTCTTCATGAACTGGCACTAGTGATTGTATTGACGTTGAAATGTCATTAGACATTGCTTGCGTTTCTTCTATTGTGGAAACCACGGCCTCATCGTAGATTCTCCTCTCAGAAATCAACTTGTCACTGAATACATCACCCATCAAATTTTGTATACATAGTGTCCTTTCTTCATCGTACTCCGCTGGTGAAGATGCTCGATCTGTAAAGGTAAATCATTTCTAGAATCAAAGTATTAGGTAACCGTTGTAGCTAGGCACCTACTGATAAAAGTAAGTGTACTTGACCTACCTATACCTGTAAGATGGCACCTTACTTAATCTTCCCACTGATGATCCAAGAGCTTTGGGTTAGTTAAGTCATACATTCGACAGAAAATTCTGTACATAATGCAGTTATTAGTATAGAAAGTAACACATCCAACCGACCGAATAGCTTTAAATTACGTGAATTAATGTCAAAAGTGACACATACGACATACTCTCTAGCATATGGTTACATGCAATAATGTCGTAAGTGACAATTTCGAAGAAACGTCTACTTTTCGGATACTTGTAACAATGTTGTAAGTGACATATCCAACAAAATGATCGGCTATTTGTACACATAATATCGTCGAAAGTGGTATATCAAACAAACAAGTATCCCTGAAGTCCATAAAAAAACAGTAGTATCCACCTGAACCTACATTATTAAAGGGATTTACCTATATCTATATTATGCAAAATACAAAAGTGGTTTCTTTGGAAAGTAGTTATCTATAAATTTTAAAAATTATTTTAACTAATTCTATCGACTTATTAAAACGCACTTACCAGGTTCTGTACATGTGGGATAATTTTCATGGTCAGTTGTTGCCTCATTCAGATGATGAATAGCATCTTCTTCATTAGCATTTAATAAATCTAAAATCCGTTTAGATCGTTTCGACATAATGCGATCGTAACTTATTGACACCTATTATAATAAAAATCATTCAATGTGATTGAGGCCGCCCGAGCGCTCCTCCCAGCAACAAAGTGCGTACTGGCAGATCCACGCGCACCCGGCGCTCCCTCCGCCACGCGAACAACGGCGGTTCCGTCACTAATAACACAAAGGACCATAAAGGACCACAATTTTTTTTAGATAACGTCAAAACTGTTGAATATATTGTATATTAATACATTACTAATTATTAATACATCTGAAATATAGTACGAGTAGTAATAATGTGTTGAATATAATGCACTTTTATTATTATATATTAATATTTTTATTTTAAAGTCTACAAATTTAATGATTACATTTGCCTTTTTTTTCTCTTATTAATTGGAGCTGCCACTATATTGCTTTGCTTCATTTTTAAAGCCATATTATTATTTCTGAATTTGGTTTATTATATTAGTAGCAACACCATATTCTTTTCTATTTTAAAACATTATAATACTGTTACTTAGTATCTTATTGAAAAAAGTGCAGCTAGTTTCTGGGCTGGCTCTTTGATACGAGTGCATAGCACCAGATTAAATGTCATTTTAAATTTACTTCTAAATTTCATTCGTTTTCTAGCAATAACGCAAATAACTTTATTTTGACATTTTATAAAATTCTTAAGAAAGGTTATAGGTTATTGACTTTCACGCTTCCTCGCATACACAATCACAGTTGCAAAACACCAGACATAAATTGGAGTGTTCCTCTTTTGGCACCTTTTTTTTCATCACTTATAGTTTCAGCAACTAAGTTATTCTACTTATAGCACCTATTACTAGTTCACGCTTAAAATCCGCCACTTTGTTTGTTTTTTTTATCAAAATAGCATCTAAGGTCACTTGGAGATGGATAAAACCATAGTTTAGTAATATACAAGATACGTGCGAAAACATAACCCTTGCTTGGCAGTCGAGTAAAAAGGATATATATAAAAAGTAAAATTCTATTAAAATTGTAATGAACTGACGTACATATACTCAGATACTTCAGTCTTTTATGTAAACAAAAGCGTCTCAAAGGCAGGTAAAGAGATGCAGAGGAGGCTGAATTAGGCATAATATTTGCATGCGCCCAATGAGCTGAGTGCGACTAATGGAACACATCGCGGCGTTTACTCACTCTACCTCTTGAAATACAATATGAATCTCGTCACTATATAGGTCAAGAGTTCACTGATGATGTCAGGATATGGCTATTAGAGGTCCGCGGTTACAAACGTCCCACTTTATGTTTAATTTAACTGCTGCACGTGGAGACCCTGTGACATATTCTTTATGAAGTTTCATTTGTAATGCAAATGAAATGTATTATTGCCTTTGTTTTAATATTTATTATTTGCCGTTCTTATTGGAGTTTCATTTTTATTGGTATCAACGCCAATATTTTAGACTTATGAATCTTATAAGTATGTAAACATCGAAGTATATTTACTTATTTTTTATTTTTAATGCGCTGTCTTACCGTTTTTCCAACAATGTTATGAATCATCATATGACATATACAGAAGATTCTTCACTCGCAGGCAAAAACTAGAACGCTTTAAACTTTTCTACGAGTAAGTAAAACGATTCATCTGTATATTTTAATATTTTTTTCGACAACCCTAGTGTTTTAGTATTTGTAGGTTTGCATCAGTTACAATTAGTTTTTTTTTCTGTTGTATAGAGGGAAAACGAGCAGACAGGTCATCTGATGGTAAGTAACTTCAACCACCCATCATCAGGGCAGAAGGCGGGCAGAAGGCAAGCAGGCTCAAGAGATACAAGTGAGGTATGACAATGTGTACTCAAACCCTACCTTCCTCCCAGATTGAAGAAGGGAGTTCTGGGCTTTTTTATAATATAGGGGAAAACGGCTTCTGTTATCAGATAACTTCACCTATCGCGAAAAGCCACGAACGAATTGTTGAACACCGGTTTTCGATGAAGCCATATTAAAACTTGTGGTTCGGTAAGCTTATGTGTGTTGGAGCATGACTCTCCCCTGACTTCTTGTTGTGACGTTATTTACTATGTAATTTTCATTGTTTCGTAAAAATCGTAAAGTAGTTACTGCAGTAGAATTAACTAATCTATAATGACTCTATTTATCAAGAAAATAAAAGCATGACTGTAAAGCAGTACAATTCAGCTTCGTTTTAATCAGTAGTAAACATATTATAATTGCATAAGTTCTTTTGGGACTTTCGTGGTTTGGAAATCAGATCAGTTGTTTAAATAAGTTCATTTACATATTTAAAATGACAGAGGGCTTCCAGGTCATTAGATGGTATTTTTCTCAATATGTTGAGACCCAAAAGGAACGTGAACAATAGGTGCATGAATGCCTGCATGTTAGTACCGTCACTTAAGATACACATCGTGAGGAACTATAAATCCCAAACGTACTAGTTTCAGTTTCCAGTTCTAAGTTCCTCAACAAGTGTAAGCAGTACAATATCGTACAATGTTAGTACAATAACAGTTGTTCCCTAAGCAGAAGGTTCTGGCGGTAACTCTTGGTCTCACAGTATTGCACTTGACGGGTGACCTGATTACACAAACAAACTTGTACAACGTTGTACACTATTAATTTACTTTTTATATTTTCAAATTTATTTTGTTCCATAAAAACACAATTAGTTTTTTTTTATTTATGTTTCACAAAAATTACTTTTTGTTCCCCGGGCACAAAGCTAAAAATGACAATTTAGAAAGAGTTTAAAAATACCCACGGGTATGTTCAAAGGTTTATTTATTTAAAACCGTACATTCCTTCGAAATATGGTGTTATTACGTTATTGGTTTCGAGGTATAGCTTTTAACTTATTGTGTTATTGTGTTTTTAAAACCATATCTACTTAAATGCATGCATGCATGTACATCTCTGCTACCAAATTCGAAAAATTGGTGTGATGACTTAACAGATACAGTCATATAGTAATGTGCTTATATAATGCTGTGAGGTCCGCGATACCCATTAAGGCCGAGAAAATTACGTTTTTAATGTTCTTTATTTGTAATGTTTATTGTATTTACAATTACAGTAAACCAAATAATTTGTTATTCATGTCCATAAGCTGCGTATTTATTAACCATCAAGTGACTAATCTACTCCCTCTCTGTAATAAGCATGAAAAAGATCGATGTCCTTTTCGCCACCATTAAAAAGATGGCTTGATGGTGACAATAACACAATAAAGTAAACAAATAATGTTGATTATTTTAACAAGTACTCCTTAAATTTGTTTAAATAGTCGCAATTTCATTTTAATCTATAGTAACTATCCTATCACAAAAACATCAGATTCATCTCAAGTGATTATTAAATGTATTGGCTATCTAAAGCGATTGTGCCCATAAATTGGAGTGGCCAGCGCCGTCTCCTGATCTAATTCCAAAGTTTAGCTACCCACAGGGTAATACCGCATTCATTTCTTATACCTTCCTAAGAGACTTCTTTAGTTTGCAATTTTATAAAAGTTGAATTAAAGAAAATGTATTGTTAGGTATTAAATATTTAAAAAAGTAGAATGTTTAAATTGCTTTATTAACCATTTTTTCAGTTTCGCATAGTATTTAAGTGACAAGAAACAATTACACTGTGTTTCTGTCTGAAATATATTCTATTATTATAAAGAGGTAAAATTTGTGAGTTTGTATGTTCAGGGTGATCTCCGGTACTACTGATCCGATTTTGAAAATTATTTCACTGTTAGGGAGGTATATTATCTCTGAGTGCTATAGACTACTTTTTATTGCGATAACCGACATACACGCGGGCATTTACACGGGCACATACATTTTACTATAATTTAAAAAAAATCTTTGTTCCAAAAAGAGTTAGGTAATTATTGTTTACACGAATCGGGTGTTCAGAACTTACAAGGCATTTACTTTTTAAGGCTGCAAATGAAAACTATTTAACACATTCATTTTTAAAGGTGCAGAAATTTTATGACATGACAGGAAAACCAGGCAAACAAAAAGGAAATGTTCAAAGAATATAGAATATACGAGTTTTTTGTAGTGGTTAATTCATTATATACTAGTACTCTCATTTGAATCAATTAAATGGTATTAGAGAACATTATTCCAGTCTGCGAAATTAATTTCTCATTGTCTGAGTTTATATTATAAAATCCAAGCGTAAAACAAGCAACCATAATCTGATTTCCTCAGCAAAATGTGATGCGAGTGATGTACCCTCATCGTGCACAGTACACGCATGACGCTATCTAAAATGTTAAAATACACTCCGGAATCACATTTACATACATATCGTATATTTTAATCTCAGCATAAAACCATGTACACGGGAATAAATCAACTTAAGCTGTATCTAACTAGGAGAGTATGAGTAAAAAGAATTATTCAACTTAGTTTTATAAAAATATACTGACATTTCTTTGGAAAAATGAGTAAAATTTAATTAGTATTACAAATATAAACTTTTGAATAACACATACTTTTTTTATTAAGAGTGTAGGTTATATGTATAGCTTTCATAAATGAAATGATGATAAAAAAAATTATATGTATAAATAAGGATCGTCATTATGATAATACTCGTTAATAGTTTTTTTTTTTTCAATTACTTACCCTTACTGACGAACTGATTCATAGCAGCAAAGCCTAAACTGCTGTGGCTACAAACTTGAAATTTTGGCAGCTGATATTTCTTTAGTTTGTAAGTACTACTACCTACCTACCTACCTACTTAATAAAATATCACGACTTTAAAAAACGTCTATTTCAAATGATTTGCTGAGATATTACGTATACGTTTGATTTTTTTATCTTGGCACTCTGGGTACAATCTTGCTGAAACTGTCTGTGTTGAGGTTAATGATTTTTTTTTAAAGGATGCTTTTCGAACCCATAAATAGCCCAGGTAGTATTTCCGTTGATGCATTAATGTATTTTTATTAGACCAATTAGTTTACACAAGTACCAGTTTTGTGAGATTTCGGGTTTGAG